TGGGATTTATCAGCCCAACAGATACGTGTAGCCCAATTAACCTTAACTTACGGCCCATTTGGATTATATCAGCCCAACAGATACGTGTAGCCCAATTAACCTTAACTTACGGCCCATTGGGATTATATCAGCCCAGCAGATACGTGTAGCCCAATTAACCTTAACTTACGGCCCATTTGGATTATATCAGCCCAACAGATACGTGTAGCCCAATTAACCTTAACTTACGGCCCATTGGGATTAAAAGAGATCCTTTTCTTTTTCTTTTATTTTTTACTTTAAAAATTTTAATACATATTTGATAGTATATTTAAAAATGATGTTGAAGCTATTTATATTAGCAAACTAATTAATTAATGAACACAAACTTATAAAAACTATTTTAATTTAATAATAACAAATACGTTATAACGTGAGAGAACGAATTCAGGAGGGGTATAGAAATCTCTACATAATAGATGCATTTTAAAATATATAGACCGTACACAATAAAACAATAAGTTTTTTTTTTATTTTGAATTTGGGGCAAAAACTCTTAAAATTTATATTTTATTTTATGTACAAAAACTCTTAAAATTTAAATTAAATCTCCAACTTCTAATTTTGAATTTAAATTTTCAATCGAATCTCTCAAACATAATTCCAATTTATCATTAAATAAATGTTTGAGATAAATCTAAACAATTTAAATTAAAAATATCTCTAATTTCAAAATCATAATTATATAATTTTATAATTTTATTAAATATAATTTATTCAATTTAGTGGTTAAAAAATTTCAATTTAATTCTCCAATAATTTTAAAGTATATCTTTTCTCCTAACAGTAACGTGATTTTAGTGGTTTTATATCCATTATAAAAATTGTTTCGTTCTATCTCCCACTAATGTATTACACGCAACCATAGATTTCATTTTTTCTAACAAAATATAAAATAAAAAAACATTTTTTTTGAAATATAAGTAAAAATAACAAAATTAAAACTATTACTATTACCATTATTATTATTATTATTATTATTATTATTATTATTATTATTATTATTATTATTATTATTATTATTATTATATTGAAAAAAAATTAATTTTAAATGGATAATAAAATTAATTTTAAGATTTAAAATAAAATATTAAAGTTAAATATTTGAAGGAATAATACTAAATTAATAAATTATTCTCTCCAACAAAAATACTCCATCTTCCTTCCTTCCTTTCAATAATATTCTTGAATTTAAAAATATTTAAATTCTTCATTCAATAATATTCTTAAATTTAAAAATATTTAAATTAGAAAAAACTCATATATATTTTTTTTAATCACATGGTTAACGGTGAAATACATAATTTTTTAAAAATTTATTAATACTGTTTTAAACTTTTTAAAAGAGGGTAGCAAAATATTTTTATCTTTAATACTCTATTTAAAAAATATTCATAAAATACTATTTATCCATATATTTTTTTTAAAAAAATACTATTTATCCACAATTCATAACTCATTACTAGCATCAAGTAGGGTAGCGTTTCGTTAGGTTATCCCTATTTTTGGGTTGACTAGTGGTAGACCTAAGAGTGAATTCTTCGCCACTGGGGGTTTCAGTTCGAGGGAACAATAAAATTTATCCAACTCATCTACCGTTTGCAAATAATACAGTTTTCTTTTATTCTAGTAGAGGGGAACTGTTTCATCCCTTTGAACGAAATTAATATGAACCAAGACATAAATCATGCAATATAATCTTCATGGAAGATTTTGGATATTAAAATGAAAGTTGCATACTATGCCTCTTAAGCCATGAGCTTGTTTCTTTGCATTTCTTGTGTTTAGATTTGTATGCTAGAGTCATTAAGTAGTCTTGATCAAGCTATCTTGTGAAGTGATTCGAATCACGAGTTTTCTTGAAAGTTGCATATTAATCTTGATATTGATTATCAAGGTAATACGTTCCAGAACTTTCCCTTGGATTGATTCCTTATCGTTTTGGAGTTTTGGATAATTTGAATCTAAAGGTCTTTAAGGTTATAGATAAAATCACAATAGTTTCGTAACCGAGATCCTTATTGTTTTTCAATCAGCGAGGTAGGACCTTTATTTTGTTATTAGTGACACTCTCAGGAATCCTTGCAAAGTCATCCCCTAATATTTACCTCAGCTTGATAATTTCATTTCTTTTTTTTGTTAGAAATGAGATTGTACTTGCTTTTAGGAAGATCACTCGATTGCACCAAATCCCCCTCGCTTTCTCTTCCTGGATTTTTACAGTAATCTACTAGCAAAACAATTCCCCCTACTATTCTACTGTAGGGATCTTCTCGTAATTTTCAATTTTGGGCCTAATCTGATATGAACGGGGCCGCACTTCCCTCTATTTTGCCGTGAATGCTATTTTTGCTTGCTTCTTGCTCATGGAAGACCAACACCATACAAAGCAGAAAAGTGAGATAAATTGGAGAGTTTTTAGAGGTTTGGACCTTGGCTACGTTCAAGGCCTCTCTCCTGAATTTGTGTAATCGAGGATCTTAGTGTTAATCGGTAATTGGAGCTATTTTCTGTATTTCTTTTGTAGCTATTAAGTTCTTGTATTTTCTTTTCTCTGGCTCCTGTGTCTCGGGACTTCATTTTTCTATTTCCCTTTTGTTTTCTCATTTTCAGAAAAAGGTGCGGTAGGTGAGGACTAATATAACTTAGTAATTTACCACAATAAATTATATTCTCAATTTAGATATACTAATATGTTTTTGTAATTATCTTAATTCTGGGCTATTTTATAAATTTTGTTTTTCTATGTATGTTGCTATATCTGCAAGTATGTCTGTTTAACGTATCTTTTGGTTGCTGCTGATGCAAGATTACATATCTCATGTCTAAAGTTGTCAAAATTTTAAAATATGCAGGACCTTTCATGTGTTGACTTCAGCTATGCAAGTCTTCTCACGTGCAAACCTTCAGTGTGTGCTAAGTTTCGGGTATGTACAAGCAGTTCCATCTAACTATGGAGACTTCTGTGATTACAAAATTGGTAATTATTAGTTTTATCCATGAAGGGAGGAAGATAGCTTCCACCAGCCGCAGTTCACTATTTTTCTTGATAAATTTCGACTGTATGGAATTGATTTGGTAGTCACTGAAAAGAAGTTCGTCAATATATATTTCAGGATAATTCAAAGTTTGGCATGTTCTCCATATATTTGTAACAATATCAATAATTGTGCATTGTGCATAATGTTTTTATCAATAATCGCTTGATTTCGGAAAAATATTCTAAATTTCTAAAAGTTGAGTTCATACCGTATCTGTCAAGGATGCATCTATATCCCATTTTTCATTTTTGTGCATGCAGGATGCAGACGCTGAGGGCTCAATTTTTCATAATGCAACTTTATGAGAGTATAAAATGAATACTTGATTCCCTTTTTGTTACAGTTTTTAATTATCTGAGGACTGCGTTCTTAATAATTTTATTTTGCCTAGTAAGATGTGAATTTACTTGAGCAAATCTTCGTGGGGACTTATTAGCAGCGGCTAATCTCGAGAGTGCCAATTTACAAGGCAAGTTTCTTTTATCACGGTACATTTCTCTATAACACTTTTTTTTTTTTTTTTTTTAACGAGCGTTTCTCCATCAGTTATTTTCTCGATTCCACTGGTTAACTTAAATTCTGTTTTGCTATGAAGATTCCATTATGTTTAGTTTAGACTAGATCCTAGTTTTGTCCCAATGAGATATTTGCTTGTCACTTTGGGATTAGTTGGACATTGTTGAATTTTACAATCTTTTCAAATAAATATTTCTTTCGTGGACCCAGGACAAAATATTTCTTAAGACGACTCAGAGGGTCGTGTAATATGTTTACCTCACATATTACAATCAGCTACCAGTAAGTGATCCACTTTTGTTAAGTTTAAACGTCAAAGGTCACCATTTAGGTGTGGTGGATTAATCAAGCATTCTTATGATATTAGAGTCATTTTGGTTTAACAACCCCGATCCTTTCTTTTCAATGTCTTTTGAAATCTTCTACTGTTCTTCTCCACCACCACTGCTGGCTTTGACGCCGCAGGGGAAGTCGTCATGGTTGTCACATTCAGAGCCGATTGATTACTCTTCGGCTCCACTCTTTTGACCTCCAAATCATCCTTCGCCATACTCTGTACATACAACCTCACCTTTTCCAAACATAGTCTCTTTCATTTACTTCCCAATTTTCCCTTCATCCTTCACAGAAACCCTAATCTTAGGATCTTCATCAGCGTTCTATTCGAAAATATACAGAATCTCGATAAGCCCATCGACCTTACGCAGAGATTTACCTTTGGAATCTGAGCGCCGCACTGGCCTCTTCGCCAACCAAGTTGCCGTCGCCCTTCTCGCCAAAATTGGCTCCTTCGCCCAATGTGGCGACTCTTCCGGCTTCAACATTGTCTTTGTCCCTTGCTCTAGGTTTCCCCTTCTACTTCTTAGGGTTAGACATACTCTCACCAGAGCTAAGGCAGCATCGTCGCTAAGCGACAATCCCTCTTCATGGGTTAGACATATTCTTGCCGAAGCCAAGGCAGCATAACCGCACGATGGTTATGATCCCTCTGCAATTTTCGATGGCCAAGAAAGTGTTTCTCTACGCCTCCTCTGAACCAGGTTGTTGACATTTTCACGAAATTTCTCAACCTCTTTGAATTTTTCAGATTCAAGCTTCAGGTTTGTTTAAATCCGACGCTTATCTTACGGTGGGGTGTTAAGGATATTTAGTAATAAATTATAGTTTACCATATATATTATATTTGATATTTTATTATAAGACAATTATCTAAAATTTGCCTTATTACTATAAATATGTTTTTATTTATTGTTATTTCCATTTATTACTATTTCTATATCCTTGTAATTTAAATTTATTTGATCATAAATAAGATAACTTTCACACCACCATTTAGGTGTGGTGGATTAATCAAACATTCTTAAAAGGAAACACTAATTCATTGTAATATGGTTCTATTTCTTTAGAATCTCCCAAACATGAGTGATAAAGGATCATCGGTCTTCATGAAATCATATTTGTTATCCGATGACCAGATCAAAGTAATTGTTAACCTTTTTTCTTTTTAATAGAAAAGGCTATGGTGCATATTATTTGTTTCCTTTAACATTTCTACTATACCCTCAGAAATCTTTTATTTCAAACTGCAGATGCTTGTCTGGTGGATTGCAGCTTCTGCGGAGCAGATTTACGCTATGCACACCTTCAGGTTCAACACATGTCTTCGATAAGATTTTATATACTCCCGATATTGTTTTTATAATTTTCTTGATTAGGAACATTTCATTACGCTCTGCCACACCTTGTCGTATCATGAATCTTTGGATGTCTCTCCACTCCCTTCATTGTTGGTCAATTTCTGCCCTTAGCAGTGAGTTAGGGATATTCAAATGAAAAATGTACATTAAAAACGGTAAGTTACATCATAGGAATAATGCTATACCATTGTCACAACAAATTTTAGGGGCTGATCTAACTAGTGCGAACTTTGAGGGAGCTAATCTTGAAGGAGCAAATTTGAAGGTAAAATTTATATATATCTACCACTTTGCTTCCTCATCTTTAGAAACAAAATTTCGTGACGTCGACTGATTGTAGGGCGCAAAACTTTCAAACCCCAATTTGAGGGGTGCAAACCTACAACGAGCCTATTTGCGATATGTGAATCTTCAAAATACTGTAAGTTCTGGTTGAATTGTAAGATCGTATAGACTTTGTTCGTGTTCATTTCTTTTTGTTCCCTGTAAAATTGATAGAATTGTAAGATTGTATAGAAAATCTTTCCATTTTTCGAACTTTAACTCAGACATCTACTTAATTTTACAGCAATTGGAAGGTGCAAGACTGGATGGGACAAATTTACAGGTTGGAATCAGATGAACAAGTGTTTAAGGTGTATGATTCAAGGAATATCACTATGCTTTTATAAGTATATAGCATGCATATATATAATATCATTCTGATTCCCTATTCATTAAATTATACGACATAAAATCTAGGGTGATGCTTGACAATCAAAATCATTTGGTTGGATTAGTAGATATATTATTTACTTAACAATTGTTTTCTTCCCTCTAAATCTTTAGACATGCACTTTATCCACTATTGTATTTATTTAATTTTTTGTTTTTATTTTTTTAAAATTGGACTTTTTTTTTTAATTATTATTTTAGATTTCAATTTTGTTAAAGGAAGTATTTAAATCTCCAACCAAATTTCAAAAACAGATAAAAATAGTATTTAAAGTTTTAACTTTAAAAATGACAATTTAATTAATAACATCTAGAATATATATAGGCATATTAAATTGAAATTGTAACATAAATTGAATCATATTTTTCGATCAACACCAAATAAACTTTTAAATTAGGCTAACTTTTTCTAAAGGAATGAAAATAATTGAAACTTTGGTTTGTTTTATCAATTCTTTCTTGATTGGCTTCATTATTGGAAATGGATTTAGTAATTTTTTTTTATTGAATCAATAAAAATTTGACCATTAATCCTCGGGATATTCATAATACGTTGAAAGATAGCTATGTATATGTTTTCAACGAAAAATTTTAGAAAATGATGCGATTTACGAATTAATCGTACATTTCTTTTTTTTAATATCTTTAAAAGATTTTTCGGAGATTCTAATATATCACTTATTTTGTTAGGACTAATATTTAGTTCTAGCTTTAGAATCGCGTTTTTCGTGTCTTTTCTAATTTTTTCAATTTGTTTTAGTATGGTGTTTGTTCTATCAGTCCGATCTTTGATCGTTGTTTCTAGTATGGTGTTTGTTCTATCAGTCCGATTTTTTATCGTTGTTTCTATCAACGAAAAAGTTCTCCGATCCGTAGATTGAATTATAATGAACGAGGCTAACTTTTTCTAAAGGAATGAAAATAGCATTCTATTGTTTTTTTTTTTCAATCTATTTATTTAATCTTAAGAGTTATATATTAATTTAACTTCTTTCTTGTCTATTGATCTATTATTATTATTATCTTCCACATTGACTATGATACAACAGAATTGACCATGATAGAACGGGGTTATCTTCTTTTTCGTAGGAGATCCACATTGACTATGATAGAACAGAATTGACCATGATAGAACGGAATTAAGAGTCTCTCTCCTTCAATAACGGAATCAAGAGTCTCTCTCCTTCAATAACGGAATTAAGAGTCTCTCTCCTTCAATAACGGAATCAAGAGTCTCTCTCCTTCAATAACGGAATCAAGAGTCTCTCTCCTTCAATAACTAGCCATGCTTTATACACATCAAATGTTGCTGTTATACTTTTAATCTATATATTTGGACTAAAAAATATCACTTTCGAAGAAATTAGTTTACGGTTGAAAGATGAGGTAAACCTTACCATTAAAATATCACTTTAGAAACGTTATTACACTTATTATTAACTTACCATTAATTAAATTGTGGAATAAACAACTTTAACTACAAACAAGAAAAAAAAAAAAAAAAAAAAATTAAAAGTAACATTTCATATGAAATAAAATTAAAACAAAAAATTGTGCCTATAAACATGGTTGAATGTAATAACTACAAGAATAGGTCACTATTAAAAACGTTTGGCCTCAATTGAATACATGCATTTGTAAGTGACCCACTCTTTCTTTAAAATTAATATTTCAATATAGAGATTCACATCTCCAAAAATCACTTATCTTACCTCAATCGACGTACAACTCCAACTAGCTAATAGTCAATTGAAGTACAGCTCCGACTAAGCTAATAGCCAATAAGTAACACCGACTAGCTAATAATAGTCAATTGAAGGACAACTCCAACTAGCTAATAACCAATAAGTCAACTGAAATATAACTCCGACTAGCTAATAAGCCAATAAATGAGCTAATACAATATATCAATAAGAATGTTAGAAGTTCTGAGTCACAATTCCATGGGTTGTTGAACTAAAACAATAAATATGAACTTACCTATTTCATTGAGACTCAAAAACGAAATCGTGAAAACATTCATATTTTGTATAATAGATCAAAAATGGAACCTTTGATTCCCTCAACAGTTCACTTTACATAAGGATTCCCTCAACATTGTTGAGGGCTTTCTTTACAACCTTGAACTTCTCTACATTAACTTTATTACCCTTAATCATATACTCTTTAATGAAGAACAACATACCGCTTCGAAGAGGCTCGAGCTCAGGGTTAATAGCGACTCGAGTGAACGCGTTCCAAATCAACTTGTCAGGACGTTCAAAGATCGAATCAAACATCATACGGAAATGCATGATCCTCTTTGGAGTAAGAAGCATGATATCACTCAGATCCACAGACTTCAAAACTGCGAGGGAGAGAGTATACGAAGCAATCATCTCGGCCGTGAATCTCGCAAGATTCATCGACCTAACAAGCTGCATCGTTTCCAATTCTTTGAAGTGATCCCATAGGCAATACTGTGGCGAAGAAGTGTGACAGAGTCAAAAAGGTGATAATAATTTCACAAACGTATCGAAGTTCGATCGACAAAACAAGTTTAGACCAAAGAAAAACGAAACGAAAAGAATAATTTACCTGTAACGTAAACTTATGGTTTTTTTCGTGCTCACACAGTTTGGAAGCTAGAATAGTGTAGTACTTGTTAAACACTTTCTCCTGTAAGCAGCAGTCCACAAGAACCCTCATTATCTCCCTGTCCTGTAGGATTATGAGAGATAGTGTCAACAGAATAGAACAGATGAGATGAGACGAGACGAACAAAATTTTCAATATATTCTACAAACCTGCTTTCCAGATAAATCCAATCTTAAAAGCTTTTCAAATGCATCAACATAATCGTCTCCACTCATTATAATACAGAATATTGCCTTTCTAGCATCTGTATTCATTCTCTGTGCAGCTGCAAGTTGAAGCATTTTTTGAGCTTCAAGAACCTCGGTGTCGATCGTGCTGGCAAACTCTGTAATGTTTTCTGATGTTGTCATTACATCTCCAGTTAACCACCACTGTCCCTTCTTGTCGGGATCGAGCAGCTTTTTCCATTTTATGCCTCTAATTATTATGTCTTCTACTCCTAACTGAAAACAAATAATTAAAGGAGCAAAAGGTCAGACAGGAATCACACTGTTTTTCTATAGATATCATGACTGACAAGGCAAGGTTACATAGCTCGAGCGTAGAATCTCGCTCTTTCTTTAAATATATATACATACACTACCCAACTTCTCATGTCCTTTCTATGTCTAACGCATCTTAAGGCTTGTCAACTGACTCCAAATAGAGTAAACCATGAGTTAGCCTAGTAACATTAGTAGATGCAAAAGGAAGTAAAAGGGCTTTTCTTGGGAGAATATACCAAAACTCATGGTGTGTAACAGCCCAAGCTCAAGCTAGCCCAAGCTGTGGTAGATATTGTCCTCTAGGGAAAGACCCAAGCTGTGGTAGATATTGTCCTCTAGGGAAAGACCCAAGCTGTGTGGTAGATATTGTCCTCTCTGGACTTAACCTTCTGGGCTTCCCCTCAAGGAATGTTTCGTTCCCCTCTCCAACCGACGTGGGATCTCACATGGTGGCTACTTAATATATTAAAATATCGAGTCTAGAACGAGCAAGTACTTAGCAAGTTAAGCTCTACACTAAAAAATAGGGTAACCTACATAGAAGCAAGTCAATGAAATAGAAGAGAAAGACCTTGTGTAGCCATTTCTTTATCCGCGTATGGTTTGCAGGATCGTCCTTGGGTTTCTTCTTGTTATTCTTGATGTCACATATAGTCTCGAGCATGAACTCCATCTGCATCCATCCACATTATAATCTTACAAAGATTCAAACAAATAAAACAAAGGGTAAACCAAATAATATTACATATACAAACTCACTCTCTTTCCATTGATGTTTTGTTGATCATCTCGTGAGGCCGCCTTCACCTCATTAACCTTACTTTGAACACTCACAATGAAATTCTTCATTGCACAAGGATCATCACCCCTTATTTTCATTCCACAGCCTATCAAATTAGAATTAACAATGTTTCAGTAATATAACAATTAACACTAGTGAGAGATCGACAAACTCGATATCAGCTTACATTGTAGAACTGTTAGGATGGTGGACACGTCGATTTCTGTCAATCGCTTGCTCAGTATAATCAGAAAATCATAGATCAGATCACTGAAAAGCATCAAAAGATACAATAATGCGTATTACAAAGATGTGGATATATGCATTGTATAATGAAATATACAAAATAATCTGCATATTTACGTACCTAGCACAAGCTTCAAACACACACAAATAGGAAAGCAATAGTGTAAGATTCCGTAAAGAAAGATTATCTTCTTTCCGGTATTCTTCCTGAAAAAGATATATGATTTTCTTAATAATTCTCAAAATTTAAATCAAACATTTAAGGACGTATTCAGGTGGTGGCAGCCTCACCTCAAATGTGTTAGCAAGAGAGGCCATGAGTCTTGCGCTAAAGTCCGAACCAACCAAACAACCCATACCTGCAACAAAAGCCGCGAAAACAGCAGCATACCTTACACAAGAAACAAACAAGTTAGGGTAAATTAACAAGCCAAAAAGTGGTAAGGGAAGGTTGATAACAATATTAACAGACACTCAACTGTTCATTGCCACGAGGACCGCGCGAACAAGATGCCAGAACCTCCTCACTAATAATTTGAGAAGCAATGCTGCGTGAAATAGACTGCAAAAATTGATACATCACAATTAATTCCATATTTGGTAACATTCCACGGACACCTTTCCTAATGATAATCAAAATTTGATATGAACAAACAAGAAAGTTAAAAGAAAATATCATACGTGATAGACAGTAGACATTTCCCCTGTTACTGATTCCACATTTGATTCGGAAAGCCTGTTTAAAAGACCTGAAAAATTCGAAAAATTGCAGATTATATTTGAAATTGAAGAACATGCAGGGAAAAAAATTGGAGCAATAATCATAAAAGCTACCCACCTCGAACACGCCTGCGGAGTTGAGTATGATCTTCAGGCTCCGTTCCTTTGTGCAATCTCAAGTTAGGAGCAATATATTTTTGGGGCTTGACATGAAGTTTTTGTACCTCAACCTGTGCAGCACAAGGGGATTCCACACCATCATCATTAGTAACTTGATGTTGTCCTGACATCTTTTTCTTCCGTTTTTTACTTTTCTCTAAAGTTTCTTCCACTTCACCATCGCCCACGCTTGCTTTCTCAATTTCACTCTCTGGAGATTGTTCTAACAAATTCCTTTTCTTCTCCTTCTTATTCAAAGCCTTGTTCTTCCTACTTCGCCCAACTGCAAACTCTTTAGAAAAGGGAAGTTCGTCTTCCCCAGGAGAATCAACAATCGAAGGGAGTCCTTCAAATAACACATTCATACCATCTTCTACTCCCCTTAACTTTCCAGCCTTGACCTTTAGTTTCTGTGCAAATTTTCTTTCTAATTCTAAGTCCTCCTCAGCGGACAATCGATGGTTCTGCATGCCCATCTCCATATCTAAATACTCTTCGAACTTCGTTTTCGCCTTGGTTCGAGACCGGAGTTTCAAATCCTCCTTCCCCATTCTCGCCGTCCTCATTCTAGCTCCACACTAAACCTAGTTCCATTTGCATTTTGAGAACAATTCAGAATATGCATTTTGAAATCATTGAATGATCAATGAAAAACCATGCGAAAACAAAGAGTGAAAGAGGAGGAGAGTACCTTGCTTTGAAGTTGGTGATAACCTTTGCGTCTGTCCGGCCGGCGAAACCAGAGTAAAGAAACTAGAAGACCTTTGTGTCTGTAAGGAATAGGGGGTATGGGGTTGGAGAAGTGAAGCGGAAGAATGAGCGCGAGAGCGAGAGCGAGCTAGAGTCTGCCCTAATTTGATAGCGGCGATGATTTTTATATTAAAGTGATTCAGAGTAATTGACGTTGAAATGCGGCGCAGTTGAGAGAGGTACAAGATACGTGTTCGCATGCTTGGCTACAAAACGACCAACTAACAAACCCCAAGTTGTGTCGAAAAATCTAGAAACCTTAACTTTCGGCCCATTGGGATTTATCAGCCCAACAGATACGTGTAGCCCAATTAACCTTAACTTACGGCCCATTGGGATTATATCAGCCCAACAGATACGTGTAGCCCAATTAACCTTAACTTACGGCCCATTGGGATTAAAAGAGATCCTTTTCTTTTTCTTTTATTTTTTACTTTAAAAATTTTAATACATATTTGATAGTATATTTAAAAATGATGTTGAAGCTATTTATATTAGCAAACTAATTAATTAATGAACACAAACTTATAAAAACTATTTTAATTTAATAATAACAAATACGTTATAACGTGAGAGAACGAATTCAGGAGGGGTATAGAAATCTCTACATAATAGATGCATTTTAAAATATATAGACCGTACACAATAAAATAATAATTTTCTTTTTTATTTTGAATTTGGGACAAAAACTCTTAAAATTTATATTTTATTTTAGGTGCAAAAACTCTTAAAATTTAAATTAAATCTCCAACTTCTTTGAATTTAAATTTTCAATAGAATCTCTCCAACATAATTCCAATTTTACATTAAATAAATGTTTGAGATAAATCTAAACAATTTAAATTAAAAATATCTCTCTAATTTCAAAATCATAATTATATAATTTTATAATTTTATTAAATATAATTTATTCAATTTAGTGGTTAAAAATTTTCAATTCAATTCTCTAATAATTTTAAAGTATATCTTTTTTCCTAAGAGTAATGTGGTTTTAGTGGTTTTATATCAATTATAAAAATTGTTTCGTTCTCTCCTACATATACATACACATATACATGCATATACATATACATATATATATATATATATATAGAAAAAGGTTTAGATTTATAGAAGTTTGCCAAAGTTAGATTTTGGGTAGTGGTGTGGCTGACATCTTTGTCACACAATATTAAATAGTGGGTGTGTGACACTAAAGTAAGCTATTTATGAACAAAAGGCACTCCTTTTTGACTCATCTTTCACTATTACATAATTCTTCTTCTATTTCTTTTCAAACTTGCTTTCAACCATTTGCTTTGTTTTCTTTACATATATTTCCCTTATTAACCTTCTCGACCCTCCGACCAAGCACGCTTGTCTAAAGGAAACATAAAATCGAGCTCCCGATTCGAGTAACGTTTCTTCAACTTATTCATTAAGTAATTTAAGCAATGCATAATTTGTTTTTATGAAGAATTTGGCAACCTGCTGTTCGAGTACTTACAAGTCATATTTTGTTGTATTAACGCAATAATTTGTATACTCCAACCGATATTTAGGGTTTAGGATTCAACTTAAATGTTACGTGATAGTCACTTGGCGAAACGTACACTCTATATTTCGGTTTATTCTATTGTTCTCAGTCTACGTATCAACCTACTTATCATACCAAAAGATCTGACACGAGTCATTTTAGTAGTTACATTTGTATCATCTCAATTTGTAACGAGTCGTGTTCAATGTCTTAACTCAATATTTTGTCATTTCAATCATCATGATAGTTGCGATACGAGAAACGGGTAGCTCATTAAACACGACAATTTATGACTCTAATTTATCACACGAGATGTTAAGAGGTCGTTAGAAAACTCTAATTCTCCTTCACATTAAGTAAAGCATAAAAGAAAAGTGTCTGAATAAAGCTGCTTGGCCAAGAGGTTAAGCACAACACAAATTTAAAGACCATAAGACAATCATCCTATCATCTCCATACTTCATCTTTACCCCTTTTTCTTCCACCGGAGACAGCTCTCTCTGTAATTCACATGGCCGCCGGCCATCTGAGGAAGCTGATCGTCGAAGTCGTGGATGCTCGCAGTCTCTTGCCCAAAGACAAACATGGAACCTCGAGTCCTTACGCGGTGGTCAGCTACTATGGCCAGCGGAAGCAAACAGCGACCGCGGTCCGGGACTTGAACCCGACATGGAATGAGGTTCTTGAATTCAATGTTGGGCCGCCGTCGAGCGTGTTTGGGGATGTTTTGGAGCTTGATGTGATCCATGATCGGAGCTACGGACCGACGCTTAGGAGCTACTTTATGGGGCGGATTAGGCTGAGTTCCATGCAATTTGTGAAGAAAGGGGAGGAAGCTTTGATTTATTTTCATTTGGAGAAAAAAAGCCTCTTTAGTTGGGTTCAAGGAGAGATTGGTTTGAGGATTTATTACTCAGATGGGATTGCGCAGCCGCCTTCTCCTCCGCCGCCGCCGGTTGAGGAAGGCGGCGCTGTTAATTCTGTCGAGGAGTCACTACCGGCGATAAGATCAGAGGCAGAGTCAAACCAATCCCCTGCTTTGAAACAACAAGGTGAATTTGAACATTAAATTTTATATTTTATTTTTTAATTTCATATTAAATCTTTAATTACTGTGAATTCAATTTTTTGGTCATATTTTAAACAGATGGCGGGGAACCCATCGGCGAAACTCCGACCAGTAATGGCAGAGAAGCTTCAGCAGCAGAAATTCCGGCCATTGATGCCACTGCAGCTTCGGTAGCTGAAACTCCGGCCGTTGATGAGACTGCAGCAGAAGAAATTCCGGCCAGTAATGGCAGAGAAGATTCGGCAGCAGAAACTCCGACCGGTGATGGCATTGCAGCTTCTGTAGCTGAAAGTCCGGCCGGTGATGGTACTGCAGCTTTGGCAGCTGAAACTCCGGCCGGTGATGGTACTGCAGCTTCGGCAGCAGAAACTCCGGCCGGTGATGATGCTGCAGCTTTGGCAGCTGAATCTCCGACCGTTGAGAGTACTACTCCGGTAGAAACTGCAGCTTCTGCTGCTAAAACGCCGCCGTTTGAATCCCACCCACCACCGCCGGTAAAGTCACCGGGAGATGATCAAATTCAAACGATACCACCGGCGTTTGCGCCAAAGCCAATCAAAAGACCGGCGGCAGTATCAAGTTACACACTGAAGTCAGAAGAAGGTCAAACAATCGAACGGTCCACATTCGATCTCGTTGAGAAGATGTACTACCTCTTTGTGCGAGTAGTAAAAGCACGCGCACTTGCCACTAGCAACCGTCCGATCGTTAAAATCGAAGCATTCGGTGAACGCATCACATCAGAGCCAGCCAAAAATAGCCACGTGTTCGAGTGGGATCAGACTTTTGCATTTAGCCGCAAAGCAGCAGATTCCGCCTCCATAATGGAAATTTCTGTCTGGGACACAGAAAACGGTGTCGTATCATCACCATCCGACGTGGACAAAGGCAATTTCTTAGGTGGCTTGTGTTTCGAGGTGTCAGATATTCTCCTGCGGGACCAACCCCACATTCCCCTGGCCCCACAATGGTACAGATTAGAAACGGAAATAAACGACGTCGCTTTTGGCGGGTATTTAATGTTGGCCACGTGGATAGGTACGCAAGCGGATGACGCGTTTAACGAGGCAGTGAAGACAGACGCCGCTGGGAAGTTCAACTCTAGAGCAAAAATTTACCAATCGCCGAAGCTTTGGTATCTACGCGCCACCGTCATCGAAGCCCAAGACGTCGTTCCGATCACCGCCGTGAAAGAAGCTTCGTTTCAAGTCAGAGCCCAACTGGGTTTTCAAGTTTCGGTAACCAGACCCGCCGTGACTCAAAACGGAGCTCCGTCGTGGAACGAGGATTTACTCTTTGTCGCCGCCGAGCCGATGACCGACCACTTGGTCTTCACCCTTGAGAGTCGCCGTAGCTCGAAATATCCAGCTGCCGTGGGGTTCGTTAGAATCCCACTCACCGAAATCGAGCGGCGCGTGGATGATCGGATAGTGACGGCGCGGTGGTGCACACTTGCTGGTCTGGTGGAAGAGAAGGAATCGTCGTACAAGGGAAGGATTCATCTGAGGTTATGTTTTGACGGTGGGTATCACGTGATGGATGAGGCGGCGCACGTGAGCAGTGACTATCGCCCGACAGCTAGGCAGCTGTGGAAGCCGTCGGTGGGTTTGATCGAGATCGGTGTGATTGGGTGTAAGAATTTGGTCCCGATGAAGTCGACGGCGGCTGGAAAAGGCTCCACCGACGCGTACTGTGTAGCCAAGTACGGATCGAAGTGGGTCCGAACCCGGACGGTTTGCAACAGTTTTGACCCGAAATGGAACGAGCAGTACACGTGGCAGGTATATACATATAAAAGCTACTTTTGTTCAAATATTTTTGAAATTGACTACTAACAATTTTAGTCCTATAAATATTTTATTTTTTAATAAAGTATTTTTTAACTTTTCTTTCTTAAATATAGTTTATGAAAATAATTGTTTTTTTTAACTTTAATAATAATATTAATGAAGAAAAATATTTTACTAAATATCATACATACATATATTACTTATTTAAATATTATTAAAAAAATTCATATGAAAAATCGAATAAATACTTTTTTTCTATAATATTTGTATTTAAATTCTATTTGCTTTTTATTAGCCCTTTTTATCTATAAAATTAATTTTAATTTTTAGAAACAATTAAAAATTAAATTTAAATATTTAATATCAAAAGTGGAAAAAAATAAATAAAATAATTAAAAATTAACCATAAAATTCTGTTTCTAACAGGTTTACGACCCATGTACGGTTTTGACCATCGGAGTTTTCGACAGCACAGAGGAACCCAAAACCGACGGTTCAACCGAACCGGATCGGCCCGATTCACTAATCGGCCAAGTCCGAATCCGAATCTCTACACTGAAAACCGGAAAGGTGTACAGAAATTTCTACCCTCTCTTACTTCTCTCCGCCGCCGGCTCCAAGAAAATGGGCGAACTGGAAATCGCCGTTAGATTTGTCCGAACGGCGCCGCAGTTCGATTTCATCCACGTGTATTCGCAGCCACTGCTGCCGTTGATGCACCACGTGAAGCCCCTCGGAATCCGGCAACAGGAACAGCTCCGGATCGCGGCGGTGGAGACGGTTGTCGGCCATCTCTCGAGATCGGAGCCGCCACTCCGGCGAGAGATCATTCTATTCATGCTCGACCCCGAATCGCACGGCTTTAGCATGCGGAAAGTCCGAGCAAATTGGTACAGAATCATCAACGTAGCCAACACGGTGATCGCCGCCGTGAAATGGGTCGACGACACCCGATCGTGGCAGAATCCGGCTTCCACGATTCTCGTCCACGTGCTTCTGATGATTCTAATCTGGTTTCCCGATCTCATCATTCCGACAGTTTCATTCTACGCGTTCTTCACTAGCGCGTGGAACTACAAATTCCGGTCACGGGATCTTTTCCCGCATTTTGATTCGAAGCTATCGATGGCCGACACCGTCGAAATGGACGAACTGGATGAGGAGTTCGACGGCATGCCGAGCACGAGGTTGCCGGAAGTTGTACGGAAGAGGTATGATAAGTTGAGAGCAATTGGGGCGCGTGTGCAGCACTTATTGGGGGATTTGGCGACTCAAGCCGAGCGCGTGCAGGCATTGGTGACATGGCAAGATCCACGCGCCACCGGGATTTTCACAGCAATATGCTTTGCAGTGGCGGTGGTCCTGTATGTGGTGCCATTGAGAATGGTGGCGGTGGCGTGTGGGTTTTATTACCTCCGGCACCCAGTTTTTCGAGTCCGGTTGCCGTCTTCGGCTGTCAACTTCTTTAAAAGGATTCCGTGTTTATCGGACCGATTAATGTAGGCTGTGGGATTTGGAGTATTGAAATTAATAGTTAATATTATTAAATATAAAAAAAAATTATATTTATTGTATTTGATATATTAAATATTAAAATAATAAAAGTATATTTTATATCTATAAAATTTAAATTATTTAAATATATATTGGAATATGTTATAATATTTAAAATTCCTATAATAAGATCTTTAGGTTGAGACGAATTGATCTATTGTTTAAGGATATATAAGTTATCTTTTTCAACCATCGAAACTTAAATTTTTAGTTTTTCTTCAGAGTGCCCAGAATTCAAAATTGGAATTTGGTATTTGATATCCATAGTATTTTCTTATATACCATGTGACATGATCACGTACTTTCCGCTCCTAAGATTGAAAATTATCCCAACAGATCAATATGAGTTATATTTTGTTCACTCACATACCTTTTATGAAAAATTTCAAGAGTTTAGCAAACGCAGGATTAAGCTGAGTAAAACTCGTTTAATCTTGAAATTCCTATGACTTGTATAGATAGTAACTTTCAATTTTTTTTTTTTTTTTTTTTTAAGAAGTGGCCCAAGTCTTATTAACCTGTCTTTAGTTTACTCATTAATTTATTTTAGAATTTATAAAAAAAATTAAATCTAAGTTATGTCATATACGTCATTTAAAAAAAATTGGTGGGATGTGAGGTTCCACGTCAGTGGAAACGAAATATTCATGTAAAAACCTCTCTCCAGTAGATACATTTTAAAACTGTAAGGCTGACGACAATAAGTAACGAGTTAAAGCTGATATTTGTTACCGATGGGCTTGAACGGTTAGAAATGATATCAATAGCAGTGAAATGACTAGTAAATAACATACCAAATTTAAAGGATTTTAAATTGTGAGGGTAATGGAAAAGCAGCCATGGAGTTCCTGTTTATGTCGGCCATTAATCTTTTTTTCCTTTTTATTTTCATATATATATATATATATATATTATTTTTAATATATTTATTTGTTCGGATAATACCATCCACTGAAAAATAATAACAATTATGTCTTATTTAATTTTTTTTCTTTAATTATTTTCATATATATATATAAAATATATTTATTTATTCGGATATAATCATCTACTTTTAACATAATAATTGATGTTTTATTTAATAAACGCGTTCATTTTATATTTTTAATATATAATAGAAATATTTGTCATTTTCTAGTGGTCATATACTAATTTTTTTTAATATAGATCATGGTAGATATTAGAGGTATTCATATATGATCTGAAAACTCGAACAGACTAGACTACGCAATCTAAAAATTAGGTTGAATTTTGATTGGTTAACGATTGATTTTTTTTTTTTATGGAATCAACTCAACTAACTTAAAAATAAAGTTACAACCCAAATCAATTCTACGTGCTTTATTTTTAATATTAATATAAAAATGAATAATATTTAATTTTTATAATTTAATTGAATATTTAATAATTGAATTTTATTAATTCAAACAAATAATTTTTTTTAAAAATAAATAAAAATAACCCGACAAGTAGTCTCGTGTAACATACTTGTACTAGACAAGTTCACTATCTTCCAGCTGGCTCTTCTTTCCAATGGGGTATGTTTTGACAGCTATTTTTCTTTTTTCTTTTTTTTTTAAAATAAATTTTAACTCATAAATCTTACATATTCTTAATCTATTATAACTTTAAAATTCAAAGTTTAAAGTTTTACTAATGAATTAACTTACATTATCTCATAATTATTTTTAACCATTTTTATTTTATTACATTTAAAATAAATTCAAAATATAATTTTATATTAGTGATCGTTTTGCGAGAATTATGTATAAGTAGGGTTTAAAACGACATTATAATAAAGGTTTAAATGGACGATATTGTAGTTATTATAAAGATTACGAAGAACGTTTTGAATAATTTTTTTGCTCATAATAGAAACTATATGTGTCTTAATTTAAAAAGAAATTGTGGGTCGTTACATTGTTGAACACTTTTAAAATAACAACTTGATACATGTTAGGTCTAATTCTAATCATAGTCCAATTCAAATAAGATAATGTGGATTGTCCGAGAATAATTAGTCTTCCATTACAGTTTACTATATGTATCATATTTGACCCTTGATCATAGACTAATATCGTGTATCCATTTATTGTTCTTTCCATTTCATTTGTAATCTATTTGATTCTGTAAATGATTATAAATAGAGAATGTTTCCCATCATTTAGGTGCGGTGGTTTTAGTAACCCTGATCATTTGTTCTTCACGGCTTCCGAGTTCGCTTATCATCTTCTTCCTTTCAACACTCCAATCCATATAAGCAACGGGTCAAATATAATGTATATAGTAAACCGAAATGAAAGATTAAATATCAACATGACAAACGAAAACCGAACAAAATATTACATAGAAAGAAGAACATAGCATGGCTTTATAACAAACTATGGGGACAACCATGAAGAACATGCAAGAAAAAACGGAAACATAGAGATTACTCAACACTAACGATTTCAAGTTATTCGAATTTTTATATATCTTCATAGAAATACTTCTTGAAACCATCCATATGCCTTGCTTGTAACCGTATCGCTACTATGAGTGACCCATCATCTGATGGCCCCACCATTATGTACGACTTTCCATCGATGTTTAATGTTGCTGGCCCGAAGTAACTCGGTCGTCCCCAGCCAAAATCTGCCTCATAAAACGGCAATGATATCCAACTCCCTATTGAAAGATTAGGGTTACCCCAGAACGAAGCCTTGACTAGAACTTTAGAGTGGAATGATGTTCTCAACCAGCTAATGTCGTCTTGCCCTGCTAGATAGTCTACCACTGATTGTGCATATTCGCCAGTCATCTTCCATGTTCCTTCTCTTACCTTTCCTGCAGCATAGCTCAATGGTTGAGACATCAATTCACCGAATTCGCACTCCGGTGTTAAGACGACGAAAGATGAGTTCCCTGAAAAGTTTTCTGGGATGGGTGGCTGCATCCGTCTTCTTACATCAATAGGGATACGAATCACCGTCGGCTGACGACTCTCGCCGGTATTGCGAGCCTTGCATGCACAAACCCACATGTGTCCGGTAATAGCCTCAAATCGAGAGTACGGCCGTGGTTGTACTTCATCAGCCACGCCCATGGTTTGATTGGTTAGGTTTGAATTTGCTTTTTTTTTCAGTTTTTCAATTTGTTCTTTAGTAAGTTTGAGCAATGCCGATGTGGTTTCTTGCTTTGCCTCCTCCTATTAAGAAATAACAATGTGCGATCTCATATGTCTGTTTAACCCATAAAATCGAGTCTTCATAAGGACTCACCTAAATGAGGTGAGAAAACTTCGTTTTGGGTGAGAAACGAAAAGAAATTTCCATCCATTAACACAACAGAGCTGGAGATGAAAATCATACTCTCTGTCCTTGACCTCATCTGGATTCACATTCGTCGTTTTATATATATATATATATTAAAATAGGAAACTATATATATTTCTTTCTTTATATACTTTTGAATAAGTAAATAAATTAATATGTATTTTTTAAGCATAATCTATTATACTATAATATTAAATTTTAAGCTTTTAAAAATTATGTTAAAAATCGTGTGGTCATATTCCATTGACTAAAAAACCTTACCTCAGGGTTGGAGCTGCCAAGGATAACTGGGGGTGGTTTAGTAAATTCAATGTGGTCGAACCGCGGCGGACGCAGCGGCTTCTCCGGCATCAGAAACTTCCGGTCATGCAACGGCTGCAAAATAGTCTCCACCGTCTTCTCTCCACGCGCCATACTCGCCCACGAGTTAATGAACGTGATGGCGGAGGCGCCATCCACCACCGTATGACAATTAGCTACGCCAATTACAACCCCACCGCAGCTGAATCTCGTCACCTGAAATAGAAGCAACGGCAGCTCTTCGATCGGAGAATTGTAATCCACGGTGGGGATGAGTTGTCTTACAGCATCCGACGGTGCAAAGTCACCGTAATCTTCCAGCTTGGCGTCGGTGGAAGCTTCAACGAATAGGACTCCAGCAGCGCAGCAGTCAAGCTCGAGGCGGCCGCCAGGGAGCCAGTGGAGACGCCCGGCGAGAGGGTAGTAAGGGACGAGGATTTGGCTGAGGGAGGTTTTTAAGGACTCGACCGCGACGACCTCAGTTGCCGGGGATTTGTAGACGTAGATGGTGGGGAGGTGAGTCCATGCCCTGTATTGGTCGCACTCGGAGAAGGAGAACGTGCCGGTGGGAGTAGGGTGGCTGGGGACCACGGTGGAGGAGGAATGGATGGTTATAGACGCCATTCACGATGGTTTTCAAGACCTTGGATTGGAAGCTACCCTTTATATAAGCAAACATTAACATTATCGTAAAATGCAATATTATAAATATAAAAGCAAAACTAACCTTTACGATTATATTCTAACTCGACATGGGTCATTACAAATGGTATCACGGTAGTATCTTTTCTAGTAAGATATGGTTTGAAAACGAACCAAAGTCGGAATTGGTAAGCATGTCACGTTTGAATACACGATAAATATATGAATGAACTGAGCTCACATTTAAATAAGAGTGAAGAAATGTTTAAATGATTGAAACTTCGTTGATAAAATTTTTTTTGGAATATAATCTTCACTTAGTATCCCAAAAAGACATAACATGTCGGGTCCATTAAATGTCCCCATCTAACATTTGAAAAGATAATGAATTAATAATAATAATAATAATGTGTGGTGGATAAAAAGTGGGTTGTTGTGTGAAAGAAGCAAAACTAAAACATCGTGGCAACTTATATAACACATATTAAGATGGTATGCATTAAATTTGCAAGTATAAATGATGTCGGTGAATTAATTCTACGAAATATATATATTAAATTAATAAAAATACTTAAATATTTTTAAAATTATAAAATAAAAAATGTTTTAAAAATACTAACTTTTAAAATTATAAAAAAGTTAAAAAATTAATTAATTTTTCTCTCGATTTTGTGGCTTCGTCGAACATCAAGCAAGATGTGTCTTCGTCAACGCATCACTTGTGGGGAATCTAAGTTTGTTTGGCAACACGTCACTGTCTGCGTGTGCATGTTCAATCATTTGCGACACAACCTACTTGCCTCAACACTATGCCAAATCATTTGGCCTTAACATTGCCTCTACTCGGAGCCAAGGTCTCTCTCTATACAATGTCGTACCCCATCATGTCATATTGGTTTTCAATTAACTTGACTCATATGTCTTGATGTCATCTTCAGTCACGGGGTGTCGTCGACTATCGCAACTCACTCGGTTATGCCATCGAGAACGGGTTCATATGTCGTTCGTAATATCGAGATATCTCAAACATCTATTCATCCGAGTTCTATTGAGACATTGGATCCTCTTGTGTCCATGTATATCAGTTACGGATTTCATTCTAGATAATGGTGTATGATTCAACCTTCGACACATGGCTGTTGGGGCATAATACCAGAACACCAATGCTGCCTAGTACTGTTCTTGAAAACCCATCTCAAAGGAAGTCGCTTCAGACGCTCGTCTCGTAACGCTCACTCTCATTGTGACACATGTATGTGCCACAGAATAACTCACTTAGGCCACAAGACCCAAAAGTGGTGGAAAACTGACACCATGCCTCCCCCAAGGTACATTTTGAGGCATTTTCAATCTGGTTGGTATAGACATCGTTTTGGCAAACAAACATACAGTGTCATGGAGCGTCTAATTGAAACCAAATTTTTCGAACTTTCATATTTCATATGTACGAACTTGATTCCAGAATCGCATGTCCAATTTTCTTTCGGAACCTCAACTTTCAAAGATAAGACTTAGGGCTCTACTCGACCCTTTAACAAACCTATCTATGACACCCAAATCTACTTATTACCTTTGTTCTACTTATTCCTTGTTCTATCTTCAATGTTTACTTTGTCTGGTGTGTTGGATGATGCACCATCCTCCTTAGTCGCATCATGACATTCTTCTATATTAGCCATCGTGCGGCCGAATGGGCACCTCTTGAAGGTCGTTGTTTCGCTTGTCTCGACATGAGAGTCACAACCTACTCTCTTCCTAGCATGGTTGAAAAATAAAAATATTTGGGTAACAACTATTTAAACACTTTCTAATTAATTCAAATCAAAGTTCAATAGAAGAAGTTAAGACAAAAACAAATTATTTTTATTATTTTATAACTATTTTATTTTCTATAATTAATTTTTTTTTTCTATAGTAAATATTCGAATCAGTCCAATTCAACCGAATGTAATTGTAAAGAATCTGTAAGTCAACCAATATAAGTTTAGAACCTAACTCAATCCAAATTTTTGTACTAGTCCAAGCCCACGATTAGCCTCACAGTTTTAAGACATGTTCGTTAGGGTGATGTTTCAAGCCCTCTCCAACGAACATAGATCTCACACCCTTATAATAAATGTTTGTTTTCTTTTCCTCTCCAACTGATGTGGGATCTCACAATTCATTTCCCTTGGGGCCCAGCATCCTTGTTGGTACACCGTCCGGTGCCTAGCTCTAATACCATTTATAATGACTCAAGTCTACCACTAACAAATATTGTCTGCTTCAGCCTATTAAGTATCATCGTTAGCCTCACGATTTTAAAACGCGTTTGTTAAAGAAATGTTTTGTTACCTCTCCAACTATCGTGGGGTCATCACATTTTTTCGAGTTATCCAATTTTTTGAACTTCCCTAATAATTAGCTTGACATGCCCAAAGCTAATAAATGTGAAAATACTAGTTTGGTTTAGCTTTGAATGTTGATTAAAGCTTGAACGTGGCCATTTTTAATACTCTATTAAAAATTTTGGGACCACTATGGGCGTGATTCATTTATTTGGATTAAAATGACAACAAAAGCTATCGTAAAGATTGGATTTGGTTAGATTTTTTCTGATTTGGATCGAGTTAAATTTTCTGAAAAAATGGAAAACTCAATCCAATTCGGAAGTTGACATTTGTTTGGTCGGGCCAACTAGACCAATCTAAAACAGGGTTACAACCCGATTCAACTCTACTTTTAAGATTATTACGAAGATTAAAAATATTTGACATTTGTAACTCGATTACAGTGATGCATTATGACTTACAAACATCAACGTTTGTATCCCTACCTTTGTTTCGGCTAGCGTCATCAGACCGAACGGGATTGAACCGGGTCGTAGAGTATCCCAAGGAACATCTTGGAGTAAAATTATGTTGGGCCTCAACTTCCTAGGCCTTAGCCCATCAATGCTCTCTCCCTGGGCCTAATTGGGCCTCAACCCATCCTTTATTATTACTTTTTTTTCAAAATATCATTAAACTTTATGAACTTTCATTTAATATCAATAATATTAAGACCCTAACTTTATTTTTAAAAAATTAAAAAAAAAATACTATAAGATGGAAATCATTTATTATTTACGTCTCATATATTATTTCTAAAAATTTAAGTAAAAGTTTATGGGTATTTTTAGACGAGATAAATTCCGTCCATATTATTCATGGTAATTTTTTAATTTTTTTAAAAAATTTGGAAGGAATTAATGAATTTTAAAAGTTTAAAATATTTTTGAAACTATTTTAAGAGTCATAGACTACTCCTAAATAAGAAAATTTTAATAAATAAAAAATTAATTAGAACGTATACATTTTAATATTTGAGTTTTAAAAAATTTTATTTATTAATTTAAAATGTAAAGTAGATTAGTAGTATTTTTTAAAATAATTTATAAAAAAAATATATGACGCTAACGGATGAGCATATCTATTAGATATTAGATATTAGATATCGTTGAACTCGAATTTTAATATATATATATATATATATATATATATATATATATATATATATATATATATTTATATAAATTTCGTTATTCAAGCGAGTGCTTTTCTCATTATTGTCCACGTTTAACACATATAATATGATATAATATAATATAATATACACACTTGTCCCAGACAAACTCGCCTTTCTTTCCGTTAATAATTTTGACAATATCAATGAAAAACCTAGAAATAAAATATTAAATAAATTTAAATGCATCTACTTTATGCATGTATCATGTTTTTTATTTGTTATGTCGTCGTCAACCGTATAGGAGTGTTTTGCTTTTATCTAAAATATAGAAGTAGCACATGGATTGAGTATTTTAACAAATACTCAGTGACTCACTATTGGGGTTAGAAATTGTCGATTCCCTTTGGTGACTATCGTAACCGAGTCATTAGATGTGTATTTATTATTCTACACATGAACCATACGTGTGAATATGGACCCACGAGTCGGTTCGCACACCCTTTGGGCCCATTTTCTGGTTGGACTAGTATTCTCTGGTATTGTTGTTGGACACCCGAAAGGAGTAGCGACCATCGTAGCATTGTGTTAAACATAATGATCATTTTTATTTTCATAACATATGTGTCCGTACTCATCATAAATGGGGTAATATCCTGATGCATGTAATACACAATAATGCTAAGGTTTCAAAACATGCATCATGATTGTGCACCATGTCAAAACATTTTATCCCATGTCATTCATGTCATACATCGTATCACATGTTGACTATCATATGTGTATTATATTATAAAACATATCATGTTACAACATGTATCATATCCCAAAACATGTCATTTCATAAACATATAATATCATAGACATACCATATTATAAACAAACAACAGATAGCTATAGTGACAACTGTAAACAACATGCAAGAAAAACGGAAACAAAAGATTATTCAATTTTATTCCATTCACGACTTGAGTGTTACTAGAATCTTTATATATTTTCGTAGAAATACTTCTTGAAATCATCCATATGCCTTGTTTGTAACCGTATCGCTACTATGAGCGACCCATCATCCGTTGGCCCCAACATTATGTACGCCTTCCCATCCATGTGCAACACTGCTGTCCAGAGTAACACGGTAGTCCCCAGCCAAAATCCGCCTCATAAAACGGAAGCGATATCCAACTCACTATTGAAAGATTTGGGTTGCCCCAGAACGAAGCTTTGGCTCGAACATTAGAGTGAGACGATTTTCTCAACCAACTAAGATCCTCTTGCCCTGCTAGATAGTCTATCATTGATTGCACGTATTCGCCGGTCATCTTCCATGTTCCTTCTCTTACCTTTCCTGCAGCATAGCTCAATGGTTGAGACATCAAATCGCCGAACACGCATTCTGACATTCGGACGATGATAGATGAGTTTCCTGAGAAGTTTTCCAAGATGGGTGGCTCCATCCGTTTTCTTACATCAATAGGGGTACGAATTACCGTCGGCTGTCGGCTCTTGCCGATATCGCGGGCCTTGCATGCACAAACC